GAGCAAGTTGATTAAAACCAGTAGAGTGAGTCATCCATACTCTTGCTTGGTGTTGTTCAACTCCATCGTGTAATGGGCTAATGCAAGGTTACTCCCAACTCTCCCTATATATAATGTATAGCAGCTTGCAAATAAATATTTTATCCCAACAATAATTGTGATTACGAGCTATGTATTTTACTTCTTTTCATCCTAAATATTCAGTATTTATTATCTTATATGTCAAATCAATTACAAGAGCATGAAGCAGTAAACATGCAAAATGTTATTTCAATAATAATATTTATTATGATACTCATAAATTTAAGAAAATATTTTATATTTTTTTAAATAGGTCACTAGTTTTTATTATTTATTATACATATTTAATATAAAATTAATAATAATAATTGTTATACATCTAAGACAATATAGAATGTCCTTATCTTTTAAAGCACTGTAAAAATTACCTATATTATTTTGTGTGTGATCAAGCCACACAATAAAAAATTCATGTATGATAATTCTTTTATTAAAACTAATAAAATATTATATAATTCAATATATTAAATTATATAAATTTAATATTTTTATTTTTTAATATATATTATTTGATATACATTAGAAATTATAATAATACTTTAATATCATATTTTTTACTTTTTTATTAATTTTTTAATCACATTATTTATTTTATTTTAATAAATTATACTAAAAATGTTATTAAAATAAATTAAAAAAACTTATAAAAATTATAAAATATTTATAAACACTTCTAAACACTTTCAGTATTACATCTATTAAAATGCCTTCATAAGTATCTCAATCGGGTCTCCATCTTGGACCAGAAAAACATCTATATTTTATTGTTCATTCAAGACCTCTTCACTAAAAGATTTTTTTTAAAAAAAAAATGCCATGTCAGGGAGTATACCCACAATGAAATATATCAAAACAAGCAAAACTATCAATATCGCCCGAAATTGTTCTAAGAAAAAAAAATGAGATCATTACATTTGAAGGCCAAAAACACGTTATTTAATTTGCCCCCAGACACACTAGGAAAATACAGCACTACTTGCTTATATATGCTTCCAAACTCTAGTTGTTGATTCACTCCATTTCAAGACCCTCCCCCCACACCCCAATCATAGAGCCCAGCCACAAGAACAGCAGTATGAACTAGGACACGAGCAAACTAGTTAGATGGCTTATCGATTAATTAACCTTGTGAGCATAGCTGTTGTTTAGAGCGACTCCAAACAATTAACCTTGTATAGCTTTGACCTTGCCGAGAATGATCCCTTCATTTCCTGCACCCAACCCCGTTGATCAGGTTCAGCAATCAGCATATGGTATCCCAACTATTGACAATATATTCTCTCAAGTGTCTATTATTATTATTTAAATAGTAATATAAATAAATAAATAATAAATATTTTAAAAAATAATAATAGACATTTTAGAGTCACATTGACTCACTTCGTATTCTCAACGTCATTGGCAATAAATAATTGACGTACAAGACCTTCATTAATTTCAGTGCATTGCCTCCATTCGGGAACAACTACTGAGCTAACTTGCGCTCTGCCGCAATGTCATGAAGACGATTATCGTGAACAGTCCCATGCATAAGGAAGCCCTAGTCATCCTAAAGACCTAAACTTTTGATTGTAATGCCATCCCATCCACCTTCCGCCACACTTAACTCGAGCACATCTGAGTGTTAACTTTAATATTTATATAATATATACTCAATGAGTAAATATATTCTCAAATTTTGAAAAAACAACATATGCTAACATGATTATGCTCTCAAGTTTTAAAAAAATTAATTTTTAAAGTTTAATTATAAAATATTTAATACAACACCCACAATCATATTCATAATTTTTTATAAACAGTTTCAAACTTGGTATAAAAATCTTATCCGTTATGGTCTATTTATTTTTAGATATATTTATTGGATGGATTTGGTCCAACTACTATCTTTAAAAGAGACGATACAACAATTTATAAATATTTTTAATGTGTTTATAAACACTTGTCAAGATATTAAAATTTGAAATTTTTATTGAAAAATTATTTATAACTTAAAAATATGTTATAAAGGATATAATCAAATTTAGTTTTAGTAATAAAATTATTAAAAATATTATTTTATGAAGTTTAACATTTATACTGTATTTGGTTGGGCATATTTAGGAGCAAGAAGATAAAAAAAGAGACAATAAGGCAAAAAAGGGGAAAAGTTTGTCGGTTTATGAAGTTTGTTATCTTTATACAAATCAAACATAAAATAAAATAAGATTTTATCTTATTCTTATCCTATGATATATTTATTCAATTATCATATCTTATATTTTTTTACCATACTCTCCAAATAACCCCAAACATAAGGGGAAAGAAAAAACGAAAAGGGGTATTGCCTAACATTTCACCTGTTGTACAACAGCCTTTTTGACATATATCTAATAATAGCATTCAATATCATAAAGTTATTAAATTTGATGATATATTATAATTTTAGATAAAAAATGATCATACATAAAATTCAAATTTATTATATCTTGTTGAATATTGGTGAGAGAAGAAGGAATGATGACCTCATGGACAGCTCTAAGGGAAGGGTGGAGAAATAGATAAATTAAATAATTAGAAAGTCGGTTCTGACCTGCAATCTTAATCTATTCACTTGTAAGTTAAGGATTATAAAAAGAGAAAGCTGAGAACAATAATGGTGGGATTCCATAACTTTAGGTCACTTTCTTGGGCGGTGGCAATGTGGGATGGTGAAAAAAAGAAAATGGCGTAGACAACGACAAAGACAGAGGGTGGCAGTGACGCAGGGTAACGCAACATGATTTCGGGGGTGATAATGCCTCAAACGTGAGACTCCAAAAGGCTACGTTCGTCTTCTTGTGATAAAGAAAAGGATTGCTCTTTCCCTGCCCCAAAGGGCACACCACACCTTTCGGCATTAGTTGCAAATTAATGACCATCTCTGAATAACGTTTCAATTATTTGACCGTTAACGCCATTTATCTTTAACTTTTTAAAATGCACCTTCATGTTTACAACATATTCTTCTTCAGATGTATTTTCCAGTTAAAGAGATGTATAAAAAACTATTTTGAAACTTTAATAATACAACATATACGTATCATGGAACGTAAACGACTCGAAGAACTAATCAGTCTAACTGATGTTAATCACATTCTTTATTTACATTTTTAGTTGTTCAATATAATTTATTTATAAATATAGTATTTCAATCTCACAATTTTTTAGTTATTTTAATTCTTCTTTTATTCTCAATTTTTTTCCTCAGAATTTTCACATATTGGATCAATTGAATTTTCACATTTTTTACTTAAAAAATACAAATCAAAATATTAAATTTTATGAAAGATTTCAAAATTTTATCTTTTAAAATGAAAAATATTGAATGGTTTTATATAATAAATTTATCATAAATCTCCACATATTTAAATGAAAAACAATATTTTAATGATTTTAAATAAATCAATTGATAACACTCGTGTAATTTTGAAGATTAATTATAAAAATTACTCATTTCATATATTATATACACATATTTTCAAATTCAGATATAATTTTAAACAATTAAAAACCATGCATAATTATTTTGGTGTAAGTTGCTGCACTTGTCACGGTGGGGTTTACAAAAGGCATGGGGTATGGCATCGTTATTCTTGCGAATCTCTCTTCTCTCTATCATTGTGTAATCTTAATTTTAGGCTTAATATAACTTTGTAGATTAAATTTATTTTAAAGCTTGACAGCTTACATGAGTGCTTTAAGTTTTTATTCTTTGATTAAATTATAATTCTAAAGCATCGTCTTATAATTTTGTCGCTCTAAAATAACTTATTTCATAAATTGAGTACTCTAGTCCTTCTTCAAGGATTGTTTCTGCTGCATGTTCTTGCTATAAGTAAGGTCTTCTAATCTATTATAGCTTTATTTCTCGTTCTTTTGTCTACTATAAAGCATTTAAATAGTTACTTCAATCTGCCTCAGAAAGAAGCACACTGTTGAGTGCATATCATGAACAAATATTATTGCAAAATTCACTCAATGGAGCACATATATATCGAGGGCATTTAATGTTTTTTTTTTATAATTTTTTTTACAAGAATCTGTCAAAAAAAAATATAAGATCATCAGATAAGTTTTTTTAGAAAACTAAAATAAAAAAGATTTAATATTTTTTATAAATTAAAAAACAACAACTTAGAAAGAAAATCTAAACTTTATGATAAAAACGTTTTTCTTTTAAAAGCTTATCCAAAGACGCCTTTAATGTTAGAAGGTAATAAATAATTAAATTATAGTAACATTTCACGTAAACAAACAGACAAATTAGAATAGTAATGTTTTTAGTACAAGGATTAAAATTGTGTTAAGTGACACAAATCATGTTTATTTCCCTTTTAAAAATAAAATATAATACAAATTATTTTAACAAGTTCTTTTATTCTCATACGTGCGCAAATTATTTTAACAAGAGAAGCTACAAACGGAAACACAAGCCATAATAATGCTTCTTCTTTTTTTTTGTGTGTCTTAGGCCACGTAGTAGTTTGTCTATCTTTTCTTTGGTCCAAAGTCGTTTTATGCTCATGTTTTAGGGTTGGACTTCGCAGCGGGCCTAAGTGTCTGCATAATCGTAAAAAATACAATGTATGGACTCATAGTACCAACAACAGACAAAGAAAGTAGCAGCAACATCATCATAAATGATCACTAACACTCAATTTTGAATGAATGATCCAGCAAGACAGAAACATCCAATGGTAATTCATGAGAGAATCCTAGCTCAAGCTAAAATTTATTGGCACAATTATGTGTACCGTTGAGAGAAAGAAATCACAATTAATCTATATTACCCTTATATTTCTCTCCTTTACGAATAAAATTCTCTCTTGACATTTATTTTTTACTTTTCTATTCAACTAAACAAGCAAAAAGAAATTTTAATATTTTTCTTTATTTATATCCATCCAAATAATACAATTTCTTTCTAATCTTTCTTTCATTTTAATTTATCTATTCCCTGTTTCTTTCAGCATCATAACAAAGTGTTGGTTCCTTGGAATAGCGTCCCAATTCTTTTCAGCCCATAATTAAGATTGAAGCTCCTATTAGCAAGCCAATCCACACTGTTCATAGTGTTCTCACAAAGCCTCTCAAGTCTCTGTGTCTCTAAAGCCATTTGGATATCCGCCACCACAACCTTGTTGCAATAGCTGCATCATTAGCTTCAGTGGGTGGAGCCAGAATTGTTGTAGGCTCGTTTAGCCAATTTTCAGTTGATCACATAATAACAAAGTGGACTTCAATATATAGCTATGCACTGCCATTGGCTCAGTTAAATTTTGCTTCATACATAACGAGCTAGCTTAGTTCAATCGGCTGTTATTATAGTTGCATTATAATGGTACCCTAAACCCTAAATAAGATATTTAGTTATATAGTTCGCAAGTTACATTCAAGGGGAATTCAAGCGACAAATTTCATGTTTAATTGAGTTGAGTTTCAAGCTGATCCACTATTAATCAAGTTGATTGGGATAATAGAACTCTTAACCAATGCAAGAACTTTAACGGGCTCAAGTCATGCATGATGGAACCACTCATTAATTTCCATAATTATACAACATATAATTAAAAAATTTATTGTTCACCTTTTTTGCTTTCCTCCTTGAGTACAAGGTTAATCATAAAAAATTATAGTGAAGAACTTCGCATTTTATTTACATTATTGCTATAGTTTTGGAGATATAATTGCTAATTATGTACATGTATAAGGGGACACCTAAAATTGAATTACGGGCACACAACTTCTATTATGATTTATATCTGTAGGTTGAGAATCATACGACTGTCCCAATGCACATTGGTTAATGACAAAGCAGTAGCTGCAATATGGTTTGAACTTAGCCCTGCCACTTTAATTTGATCTGTCTGAGATCCATGGTTTATATATCTGTCAGGCAGTGTCATGGCTCGCCACTGCATCAAATGAAGAAATTATTTGTCAAATACTATACACAAAGAAGGGACAGAAGGAAATTGTAGAAGGATAGAAAAAAGTCTCACCTTAAGATTACCATCTAGCATACCATTTAATCCTAGAAAATGAGAAACATGAGAACCAAATCCTCCAATTGATCCTTCTTCAACTGTGATAAGAATCTCATGTTCTCTAGCGAGTTGCCTCATCAAATCTCCATCTAGAGGCTTACAAAATCGTGCATCAGCAACAGTTGTTGAAATTCCATGAGCTTCAAGAACCTTAGCTGCTGCGACACAGCTTTGGACCATTGTTCCATAACCAACAAGAGCCACCCTACTTCCCTCCTTTAACACCCTTCCTTTACCCACCTATATTTCAATTGCCAATTAGAAAAATTTAAGCAGCTTTGGAGAAAAAACAATTAAAGTTGGGAAATTTAAAAGGGTGAGTTAGAACTTAGAATAAGCACCTCCAGTGGTGTGCCTTTGTTGTTAGGTGGAAGAATGGAGCCTATACCATTCCCTCTTGGGTACCTAAAGCAACTAGGCCTGTCATCTATGGCTGCAGCTGTGGCAACCATGTTCATCAGTTCAGTCTCATCCGAAGGAGCCATAACCACCATGTTTGGCAAACAAGCCATGAATGTTGTGTCAAAGGCACCACAGTGTGTTGGACCATCAGCACCAACTAGGCCAGCTCTATCTAATGCAAATCTAACTGGAAGCTTTTGAAGGTCCACATCATGTGCTACCTATAGCACATTCACCACCATGTAGCCAAAGTTAATTTCATAGATTAAAAAATAAAAATTTAAAAACTTCATGGATTAATTATCCATAGTTTCATAACTTCTGACCTGATCATAACCTCTTTGTAGAAAGGAAGAGTAAATTGCACAAAAGGGTTTAAAGCCTTCAGCAGCTAGGCCAGCAGCAAAGGTTACAGCATGCTGTTCTGCTATCCCAACATCAAAACATCTTTCGGGGAAGCGCTTCTGAAACAAGTTAAGGCCGGTACCACCTCCCATTGCAGCATGTATGGCAACAATTCTATCATCAACCTCTGCCTCTGCTGTCAAAGACTCTGCAAAGTACTGCGTGTAAGACCGCGTGCTTGTCTTGGATTTCAGCTGCTTCCCAGACTTAGGATCAAATTTAACGACACCTACACAAAACATAACCCATTAAGCCAACTGCATTATATAAATTTTAACGACAAAATTAAGTACCACTTGTGAATTGCAAAAAGGTAGTAAATATACTAATATATGATGTAGTGAGTTACCATGCATCTTGTCAGGTGCAACTTCAGCTGGACGATAGCCTTTTCCTTTCTCAGTGATTACGTGGATGAGTACAGGTCCAAGTGTTGGCATGTCCTTGACATCTTTCAGGATGTGCACAAGGTCTTCCATACCATGGCCATCTACTGGACCAATGTAAAAGAGCCCAAGCTCTTCAAATAAACAAGCACCAGAACCACCTACCATCCCTCTAATGTAGGAATCCAATTTGGCTGCAAATTCATGCGCTTGGCTTCCAATTTGCTTCGTGATGCCCTGTCCATTGCTCACCAAATATTAGTTCAAGTAGAATTACATCTGCATGATATATATTTTTTAATATATATACATTCTGGTAAGCACGTAACAGTGCGGTCATTTTCCCATTGCAACATATACATGGTTCTTTCATTTATTTATTTTGGGTTAAGAGGTGGTCAACACTCAGCATGTTTGGTTTAAAGTTTGCATACCCTAAATCATGATTTGGAAGTCCTAATAGAGTCTCACCTCACTTTAATAAAAATAAATTTTGATGCTGAAAAAGGTTTTGGTGGAAATTTCTCCAGACTATTTTTTTTTTAAATCTTAAATTATACCAGTTTTTTGTTTAATTTAATTTATTTTTAAAATTAATTCTTGTTTTTATTAATTTTAATGCTTTTTAAAAATAAATGATTATATATTGAAGATAGTGAATTGGGCCCGGCCTAGTGTTGTTAGGCCAGGTAATTTTCTTGGCTGCAATCAAATCATATTTGACCAAAGAAAGAAAAAAACTCATGTTACCTTTGCGACCTCACGTAGTTGATGGAACTCAGAACTAGTTTGTAGCCTGGCGAGAGCTCTACTAAGAGCTCCAACGGGTGGAGCTGGGCCATCAATGGTTGCAGTTGGAAGAGAAACTTGTTCATTGTCATTTAAGATTATAATAAGATTTGTATCAAGAAAACCAGCATTGTTCATTGCCTCATATGCTTGTCCACCCGTCATGGCTCCGTCACCGATCACTGAAATCACATGGTTGTCCTTTCCATTCAAGTCTCTTGCAACTGCCATCCCTGAAAGTCACGTGAAAAAAAGTTGACCAATTTGTAGTGCTAAAAGGGCCTACTGTGATTGTAACCATACATTAAGGACTAAGTTCATGGATATCTGACTCATGAGTAATAATTATTGCGGAATGTCGTATTCGTTAAGTATTGTTTATTATTACATTCATGTATAAATAAATTGTACATGTGTAACGACTACGTAACTAAAATTGTGGACGCGTGAAATTTAGTGCGTAGCATTACTGATTTTTTTTATATATATAGAGAGAGAAAGATAAACGTGTAATTAATTAAGATATCAAAGATGCACTAATTATAATAAAAAAAGGTATTATGGATAGTTTATTACCTAAGGCAGCTGAAATACTAGTAGAACTATGACCAACTCCAAAGGCATCATGAACACTCTCATCCCTCTTTGGAAATCCTGCGAGTCCATCAGTCTGTCGAATCGTGTGCATTTTGGATCTTCTTCCAGTTAAAATTTTATGAGCATAGGTCTGGCAATCCACCAAAATTTGTTAGACTTTGAAGTTCAAAATTAAGATTCATAGTAAATACTGATTAATTATTACTGCATATTGTATATATTTTGGGGGAAATTATTGGGTACCTGGTGACCAACGTCCCAAATGATCTTGTCTTGAGGAGTGTTGAATACATGGTGGAGTGCCACAGTTAACTCAGTCACACCTAGGCTTGAACTTAAATGCCCGCCAGTTTTTGACACTGTATAAACAATCTCTTCGCGGAGTTCATCAGCTAGCGTCTCAAGTTCCTGATTTATATAATAATGTTAAAATCAACGTAATCAATCACAAATCTTAAAACAGGACCAAATAAATAGATATGCAGTTAAGTTCTCTACTTGAATGGATAGATTTTTCATGTGGAATGGGTAATTAATTGTGTCCAGTATTGGGGTGGATGGCTTCTCTCCTGAGAAATTTAGAGATCTCCGCAATTGTAGATTTGATTCGTAGAGTTTATTCACCATTGTGCCCTCCACCTTCTCAGAAACACTGTCTCCTCCAGCAGCTCTCACTTGGTTCATCTGAAAAATTACAAACAAATACCAGTAAGTGTATGTTTGGGAAAGATTATTTTTTTTTATAAATCACTTAGTTTTTAAAGGCTCTATAAAAGTAAGTGATTATTTTTGTAAAATAAATAAAACCAAGCATGCATGAAGTGTGTTACCATCCTAGACTCCACTAGTTATTTTAATTTTTTTTCAAATTTTGTTGATGCTAGAATCATACCCTTTGTGGGTTGGTGGCTGATATTTTGGTGATAATGTTTGGCATATTCGGGGAGCAGCAGTACTTGTCTTGAGAATAAAACAGAGGAAGGAAACTAGTCCCAAGAACAAAGGAAGCCATATTAAGGTTGTTTATTGGTAAAATGTGGGAAGAAATCTTGTGTACAGTCTAGAGAGGAGAGAAAAATAGGCACAATACAATGCACTCTTTGGTAGTGTCAGAGTGGTGCGAAGGTGCTGTGACTTCAGGGTTGCCCAAGCTGGGCAATTTATAGAAGAATTGTTCCAAAATTGAAGTTGCACGTGTTTCACGCGCGCAAAACCTTACGTGCAGTTTGCTTATAACATGCACTCGAAATTTTTTTATTTATAATATAAAGTTAATCATCAATATATAATTTAAAATATCAATACAAAATAAATGCCAATGAAGAGAAATAAATAAATAACAAGATAATTAAATTAAACTTAAAATCTTGGTATTCTATTCAATACACATAAAAAAGGATAGTATTGAAGAATGTGAGAAATTTTCATAAAAAATCTAAGTAGATAAGAATTTTTGAAAAATAGATTACTGCGTTTTGTTGCTTATAAACATGTAATTTTTTGACCGTTGGTATACGAAATTAATAGTGAAATTCGATTAATCTAAATCGAGTTAAATATCTTCATTTAAAAATATAAATAAAAATTTTTAATATCTATTTTTATTTACAAAATTAAAATTTAATACTCTATTTTTATTTTTTAAATAGATACAACAGCAATAACAATAAAATTTTAAAAGTTAAAGGTTTATAAATTACATGATATTATTGAAATTAATTAAAAATTAATTTTTTTGAAATATTATTTATTAATAATTTTTTAATAGTTTTTTCTAAATTTCTTCGAGATTTTTATCCCTTTTTATCATACTAGATTTCGTGTTATCTTCTTCTTTAATAGTTCCTTTATGTGATTAATCTACTATGTCTTTTTAATTGGATAAAAGAATGCTAATAAAGAATGTTTTAAATTTGTAATTAATTTTTTAATATTTTAAACAAGTAAATGGATGGATTTATAATTTAATTTTATTTGCATATTTTTTAAAATATTTATAAGAAATATTAGTTAGAACAATTATTTATGTACTTGACTTTGAATTCCTTTTGCAGTCATCACCAAACTTGCATTTGTTCGTATTGGGCGCCAAATTATGTTACGAAATATACAAATCGCTGATGTATTGCAGAATTTATGAAAGAAAAGTCCAAAAATAGTTGGATTTATTCAACTGTCCGGTCCAAACATCGATCGCACGTCTTAGCGTCGACCATTCCTTAAAATGTAAAGGTTTAGCTTCTTTGCCAACAAATATTTTATAGGCCGTTTTAAATTAAGAAAAATTGTTGAACTTAAAATAACAATACAATTTTTATTTTATTTTAAATGTAATAAATTTTTAAATTTATAACTCGTGAAATGTGAAACTTTATCTTATTTTATTTAATTGACTTTCGAAACTTTGCTTGTTTAAGTTTAAACTATCCGCGTTATCATTTTCAAAATAACGTCATCTTGTTGTGAGTATATTAGATAATGAGCAAAATCTAATGTCTCTTTTTCATAATTTTATTTGATCTTCTTCTTTTATGATACAACTTCCTCTTAGGGCATTTTATTTGAACATTGATTAGTTAATTAGTGCTTGAAGTGGATTTAATTATTTCACAAATATTTTTTACATTTTTTATTTAGGTTTACATTTATTATTTATTAATTATTTCTTTTTTATTTCAACATTTATCTTTTCCCGTATATCGTACGGATGTTATACTGGTTGCAGACAAATCATAGTAATTAAGTCATATCAGTTTTAATGTTTAACATCAGAAGTAAATTTGTATTGATTTATTTATTAATGCTTGTTTAACTAAAATTTCTCTTTTAAATATTTAGATTATAATTATTTTTTCTTAATTTCTTAATTAGTTTAGCATGACTATAGACAGTGATATGTTCAAGATTAATTACATTATTGTCTCACTCTCTTTAACCCATTCTTCATTTACTATTTTTTTTTTTTAGTTCAATCTGCTCTCTCACTCTTATTTCTTTCCTCTTATTCTTTCTTTTTTTTAAGTAAAATTTTTAATGTTTATTTAAGTGAATATTTTAAATTTAAATGAAATTTATAATTTTTATATATTTCACTTAAATGAATCTAAATTCATTTCAACAAAAATACAATAAAAAATTACAATTTATGTTAAAATTATAAAAAATTTAAATCTTAAATGTTCACTTGATAGTATGTCTCTTTCGTACATTTCATTATTGGAAAGGATGACTTGAGTGGCACTGGAGTTGTGTATGAATTGGATTTCACAATTAATTTAGATCCATGTAGAATTTAATTTTATGAATTAGATTTTGAACTAATCTATTTTTATTTTTTATTTTAAAATTTAAATTTATTTTAAAAATTATTTTTAAATTAAATAAAAATATATAATAAATATTTTTTATATTATTATTAAATTACTATATGTAAAAATATTTAAATTTTATAATAACTAGTATAAAATTATATTTATATATATTTTAATATATTAATAATATAATTTTTTTATTTTTATATTGTATTAAATTAATATATATATATATATATATATATATATATATATATTCTACTTTTTATCATCTTTCTATCACATAAATTAATTATACGAATCAAATTTTAAAATATTTTATTTTATTTTTTAAATTAATTTTAAAATAGTTTTAAAATTTGAATTTAGTTTAAAATTAATTTTAAACTTAATTTTTATTGAAACTAGTTTTATATTAAATTAATTTTAAATTCAGTTTTAAATTTAATTTTTAAGATAAAACTGATTTTTAATGTATTTGTGAATTTATTTTTAAGATAAAACTAATTTGTTGTATGCACCATTACATTAAACTAGTGTGTTTTAATTTTTTTTAATAATATTTATTAATTATATTATATTTTATAGAAGTTTAAAAAATATTTATTATTACTTTTAATTTATAATAAATTAAAATACATATATATATATAATTTTGTTTTATATATACTTTATAATATTTATATATCATTTATATGGTATTATATATGTAAATTATATTTTTATTAAAATATACATTTTAATTTATTCAATTTTTATTAGTGTATTATATTTGATTAATTTTATAATTATATAAAATTATAAGTTTTTGCATCTTTACTTTTTATAATATATTATAATTTTTTGAATTTATAATTTTATCTAAAATACTCGTTTTCTGACGATAAATGTACTCAATATTTTTAAAAAAATTAAAAGAAAATTTCAAATTTAGATGATGAGCTCAAAATTAACGTACACAAATCTTTAATTATTTTTAATTACCTGTTGTAGCCATACTAAACAAAGACTAAGTAAAAGAATGAACTAAAATCAATTTTAATAAAAGTAAATTTAATTTTATAAAATAAAATTTAAATCATGTCTAAACTAAAAGTAAAGTAGATTAAATATTTTACTGTTTTTTAAAATTAAAATTTTTTAATTCAGTTTAACTCAGGTATAGATTAGACTATCAAGATATTTTGCCGCTCCGAAGTGGCACCATAAGCTTCTTATCCTCAGAGCAATCACATACGCACTTTCAAATATTTCCATCTCGCATGATTTTGTTTTTGGGTTCCTATTCTAATGATATTACAGGTCATTTGCGAAGTGTCCCATCTAATAATTTTGCTCAGATGCGAAACTTAACACTGAGTTTATTTTCATTGAAATGAAAAGCAATGGAACAAAAAAATAAAACTGACATCAACCTTTAAATCTCAACTTAAAGTAATAAATTTTACCAGAAATATTTTTAATAAAAATTATTATTATTAGTTATTTAATTTTAGTTTTAATAAAACCTTAAAAATATTATATTTTAATCATTTGAATGAATGAAAATGCAAAAATAATGAATTTTTTTAATGAAGTATGCATCTTAAAAATTATCCCACCGCCCCCTTTTATGTGAAGTAAAGGGGAGGGACTGTTTTGGTTTTATTTACTTATAAATATAAAATTTTAAAAAGTATTAATAAAAATAGTATCACAAAAGAGCAAAATCTAAAATTATTATTGAAGTATATTATTAAACATATTATAATTTATTCATTTAAATTAGTGAAATAATTTTATTTTTATTTTTGTCTATCTAAACGATGCATAAGTGTCGATAGATGTTACGGTTAACCTCAACTGTAGGGGAAATGTAAGGCGTGCCTAATGTGATACTTGTGACGCACGTGATTAATTGAACAGTTTCAATCGTATGGTGCATGGTGTAAGTCTTGTCGCATCATTGCCTCTTTCTTGTACTCAGCTGTACAAGACTAACATGGGCTGCGTCAGTGTCACTGTCTACAATTTATTTCCAGTAAATCCCACGTTAGTTTTTGAGATTTGAAATTTATTATTTTTTTATTTTGTTGAATTTTGAATATTTTAATTTAATTAATACTTTTTATTTAAGTAGTATTATCTTTTTTTTGTTAAATTACACATAAAATGTTATTTTCAAATAATAATATTATTTTGGTAAATTTTATAATAATTTAAAAACTTTTAAAATAATATAACAAAATTTCAATTAATAATACTTGGACACTAAGTAATAAGACAATGACGGCAAAGTCACGAGCTAACCTCGTTTCAGATATTTATGCCGCATTTATCTCTCTAATTTGCTTTTTTTTCCCCTCTTTTTAGAAGTATGGCTCTAATTTTTTTTATGTAGCTTTTCTCTTGTGAGCACAGAATACATGTGTATGTGTATCAAGCACCGATTATTTGTTTGATTAAGATGAAACGAATGACAAATAAAGGGAAAGAAATAGAAACGTCTCGTTGTTTAATAAGAAAAAAAAAATGTAAATGCATGTATTGTCCCACTTAAATTTAGGAAAACAATAACTTATTTTTAAAATCATTCTAAAAATTGATAAAAATAAATGAATATTTCTTCGAAATGAGTTAATTTGACAGTATATATTAAAATACGTAGATTCTCTTCCGCATATGTTACTCATTTTTTTCCATCCAAGATCTTAACCGTTTATTTGATATCAAATGGTCCAAACACGGTCGAAACTGAATGATCAATGCAAGATTTGCAATTCATAGTCCAACTTTAAAGTTTTTGGACCA